ATGCTGTAGCAATCATTGGTTAGTATAACATAGACTGGAAAGTATTTTTATATAGTGGTCCCGTTCCGACGGCTTTAATTAAATTTCAGACATGTTTTTGTCATAACATTAATATGTATTTTAAAGTCAGATAAACACTGTTTATTTTGACATATAAAACAATAGTCTGTGTTCACAAATAAAAAAGTTATTACAATTCAAAATCTATGCAAAATTGAAAAATCATGTTTAGTATTCACCTTATAATAATTATTGTTGATTTAATGGTTGAATTCAATAATAATAAATCATTGCTTTACTTCGACATCACTCAGAGGTACGGTCGAAGAGTCCACGCAGACTTATTACCGACTGTGGCCAGTCTACCGAGTCAATCCCTCGGTGGGGACCGAGAACATCACTGTCTTCCCCGAAAGAAGTCAATCCACCTACGTGAAGAGACAACCCCCGGTTGGACTTGAACTCGTACCCTCAGCTCTGCAATGCGAGACTCAGACCACTGAGCCACGCTGCCTTGGATTGGTTGAATTCAATACTAAAGTTATGGTTGAACCTAATAAAACAAGTTAAGTCTGTTCTGGCTTTTCATACCTCACATCAAATTTTAATCTGTACAGTAACTTTATATTCTTAATATCTAAAGTGAATCTGAACACCGACACAATTCGCACCCACTTCAGAACCATTATGATCAATAATTTTCTAATAACATAGACACCTTGCTCATATTACCTATCCAGTCATATTTTAATTATTAAGACTCTGATTAAATATTTTCTAGCTATAAAGCAGCAAGCTAGGCACTTGCCGGTTAAGCAATATAAAAACTTTATTTGTTACATGTTATTTATAAATAGTAATTTTATTTTTAAAAATATATATAAAATTCTGAAATAATTTTTATTAATAATAATACAATTTTTAATTAAGAATGCATTTAATAATAATCATGTTCAAAAGGATACTTAAAATTAACCCATAAAATACGGAGATTTGGAGTTAGTATTTAAATAATATGATTTGCCTGTTGTGTCATTCTTATGAGGTTTGGACAGTATGGCCAGTTGGCCGATAATAGCACAGGTGGAATTGTTTTCAACTGATATACCATTACATACACCCTCTTTATACGAATCATAGTCCGTGTTGTGATGTGCCGTCCCATTTCGGTGCTTGGGATCAATGCTGTCTACGAAATAATTAGCGGCCATCACGTGACTGCATGACGCGCATAAGCTTAAATTGTCCACTACCAAAAAATTATTAACTTGGCTTATTAAATAGATTATTAAGATCACGTTGTAGAATTTACCAGAAGCAGCATTATTCTTAAAATGGTCTTTCATACACGGTGTTATACAGTCAGCATTGCCTACTCCATTGTTAGGCCAAAAGTCGATGTGCACTAAGTTTTCTGCTATGCCAAAGCCTGCTTGAATGTATTTTGCATCTTTTACATACACATCCGAATGTATGACATCGACGAATTGAGCCTGGTTAGAATCAACAATCGTTACAATTATAGTTATAGTTTACGTTAAATGATTCGCACACTTGTTTGGTTAAGTTTGTCTATTCCAGGGCCAGCAAATCCAGGGTCTTATTAGAGATTAATTTTATTATAGTTATAATTATTTTGTATTTTGTTACATCATTCAAAATTATTTTAATAACATACAAGCTGGGTCAAGGCCGGTTATGCGACCTATCTGACCGGGAAATGAGTGGCCAACAAAGCCGGATGTATGCGCTCCTAATGAGCATCCTATTATATGCACATCGCTTAGTGATAGTCCCATTACATTCTAAAATAAATATCAATGAAATAGAATAATGTCAAATATAAAATACTTCAATCCAGGTTATTATAATAAAATTATATTAT